TCGCGCCTTTTTCCCGATTTTTGGAGAGTCGATCTTCGTGTTTGAACGGCTTTAGTGCATAGTCAAGAGCAGGTAGGCCTCTAAGACATCAAAATTAAGATGTATTTATGCATAACCAAATGTGTGATGGCAGTCAATTTGAACGGCAAGTGTTTTTTTGGCAAATAAATGCTTGAATTTGAAGCCGTGTCGATTGTGTTTTTCGTCGGTTTGTCTCCACCTTGTCATAATATATATAAGTAGGGGAAAGTTTACCATAATGAGCTGAAACTTCACAGGGGCGTTGAGACAAATAAGAAGAGCACTATGTTGTAGTTTGAAATAATTTAAATTAAGTTTTACCACTTTTATCGAACTTTTCGTTCTTCACTGCCACGTCCAGTGCTTGGGCTACCTTTAACGGTCATATAATAATAAAAGGTTATTAAACGAGTGCAAGGTCTGTAGGGAAAATATCAGACCGACGTCTTCACAGTATACGGACAGAGAGCACTAGCGAGAAAAGCCATTAAAAATATCATATTTCGCGCTCTAAAAATGTAAACAAAAGTAGTTTGAATTTTTYTTATTTTTTCGATCAAAAACTAAAACATTAATGAAATCTACCTTTACATTAAACATATACAATTCAAAGCGCGCGTTTCCCAAGCACGAAAGTGCGTCCGATCCGCCGAAAACCTCGATATAGCACGTGGGTAATACGGTTTTGATTTAGATAAGCCCCAATCCAATCTCGGTCACTGTGTTTCCTAGTATTTTCCAATATGGCGGATAACAAAGCCACAAAGGAGCACTAGCAATATTTTATGACGTTTTGATCCTTGAGAAAACACTACTGCTCTTTTTTTAAATATAGCTTACAAAACTACAGCAATATTTTAAGCTTTAAAAATGTATGTAGTTGGACATGACCACAACCAGCCAGTTCGMATACTATGCAGGATTTGAGACGAAACATGAAACGCAAGAATATTTTATCTTTCAAAATTTATTAACTTCTATCAATGACTGTTACCCAAAAATGTCTTACCTCGGAAACAGTACTGTAAAATGGTCCATCGAATACATACTCCTTACAATCGGAGCAACACTTTGTATCCTCACATGTTACATTAGGAGTAACACAATGAAAGTGCGGAGTGCTGAACCCAAAAACCAGAGCATCAAACTGCATAGCTATTGGAATTTGMATCATATGAACCGAA